ACCCTGAACACAACGTGACCTTTGACCCCTGCTGTGGCTCCACCCTGGTGGTGTTTGGGTCAAACCCTACGACACTAGTTTACAGCCTTTAAGGAGGTTTGGTCCAAACTTAAGCCCAAAACAACCAGTCGGCACGATGCGTCAGAACCAACTGGTCCAGAACTGGGATCCAGGCTGACTCATCCACATTCATCAAACTGGGTCCAGTCAGCCCCAGAACAGAACCTGCTGGTTGTTTTCAGATTCCTGCTGCAGAAACAGAACATTTAGCTTTTTTATCCAGCTGGAAACTGGACCAGAACCAGGAAACTGGACCAGAACCAGGAAACTGGACCAGAACCAGGAAACCAGACCTGAATCTTAAAACCAGACCTGAACCTTAAAACAAGACCTGAACCAGGAAAATGGCTTGTAAAGGAACCAAAAACTTGTTGGACCAGCAGGTCAGAGGAGCCCAACTGGTCCAGAACAAACAAACAAACAAACAAACAAACAAACAGATCTCTGTAATCGTGTCAGATTGTCAGATTGTCAGATTATTCATGGTTTAATCCCTGAAAATAAAATCTTTCTGGTCCCCAGGTGCAGACAGAACCTCCTGGTGATCTGTACCAGAACCAGAACTTTCCAGAACCTCCTGTGTTTTTTAATGTTGAAACTGTCCAAAATAAAATCGGGCACGACAAACAATATTTCTGTTCAATAATCGGATTTAATCCCATAAATAAGATCAACTAAAGTTTAATTTAGCTTCAAATGTCATGTTTTAATTTAAAGAAATATAGAATGTTTATTTTATGAACATTATCCTGAAAGTTTGACTCTTTTCTTGTGAACCAAAACAAGTGAAAGCGGCAGAACCCGGACTTGAGGTTCGGTTCGGTTCTCACCGTGCAGTTGGCAGCTTTGCTCTCCAGGCTCTGCAGGGTCGGGCTGATCCAGCAGAACCCGAGGATGAAGAGGCTCAGGACCCCGCAGGCGATCAGGAACAAGCCCAGCCGGATGCTCCGGTCCTCCGCCTCCGAGTACTCGGAGGAGACCCGGATCTTCGCCATGGAGGCTCCGCGGAGCCCTGCTCCTGCATGGAGGAGGAGGAGGACCGGGAGGAGGAGGAAGAGGAGGAGGAGGAGGACCGAGAGGAGGAGGAGCAGGAGGACTGTTTCATGTCCCCTCCCTCCGTCCTCACCGCGGCTACATTTTAATAACCCTCCTCTTCCTCACTTTTCTACTCCGCTCTGCTGAAACTTACAACAACAACAACAACAACAACAACAACAACAACAACAACTCAAATAAATCTCAATGACCTGTATAAATAAAGGCTGGATTTAAAAAAATGTATATCTATCTCTGACAGCTGCACGTCATTATGAAATCTGTTCAAAAAGCTAAAATTATCAAAGACAAAACAACAACAGCTAAAACCAGAACAGCAGCTAAAACCAGCGAAACAACTGAAACAGAAAATGAGCACAAAAGAGCAGCGAAACCGTCAGAAGCAGTAGCCCTGTCCAGGTGTCCCTGTGATGGACTGAGACCTGTCCAGGTGTCCC